CACTGACCCACCGTTTATTGTTATAGCAGTTGACTAGAACAGACCATTCTTCACATATCTTCTGTAACCGTCACTTCATTATAACACAATGGTGGTCAACCTGTTACAATATCTGCTCTTTGGAGAATGTGGCCTCCCTTTTGTGTACAAGTCACATGGCAGTGTGACATCAATGTCTGCCATGTACAAAATGGATGACATTCTGTTTAAAGAGACAATAGATAATTTTTTGACGAATAACTTTTTCTCATATTTTGCTGAAACTTTTCACTATATCCTAGCCGTAGTACATGAGAAAGATAATATTTATAAAATAAAATTTTTATAAAAGTTACCTACTTGGTGGTGACAACAATTGAACAAATGAAATACATGCTTTAGGTTATTGCATGCACACATAGAAGGCTCACCTCCCAAACGTCCACTTTGTTAGGAAATTTACCCCACTAAACAATATCAACTAAGGTGGGTCTTGCATTATTATCTAATCTGGTGGCTCTGTTTTGTAGGAGGGTGGTCTGTATCAAAATCTGTTCTTAAAGGTCCGTGTGTAGGATTTAGTGGTATGTTGCAGTGTAGTTGCAGATCAACACGCCCTTGCTTCCCCTTCCCCCTTCCAAGCTTAAAGGAAACTACTAAAGTTTCATTGTTTGGGAAAAGGTCAGCAGCTGTTTCAACTATGTGTGGTTGGTAATGAATTGACTGAACCATCCAAAACCACTGGGAGAGTCCAAGGAAGTGGTAGCTGACCTTTTTGGTGTGTGACCCTTTAAAACAAAGCAAACATGTCAGGAAAGAGTGATATAAATCATTTTTAGAGGCCTGAGGAAAATATGATGTCAAAAATGAAATGTCAAAAATAAAACTGTGGGTGGGTCCCAACACCCAAGGGCATGTCCATACCATTTTGACTGCAGTGGCACGAGTGGGGCATTGACTTATGCAGGTGTGGCATGAAGTATATGTATCAGCTTTCCAATAATTCTCAATGTTTGTACAGGTCAAGGGACCCCATTGGCAAAATTTACCCTAACTTTGAAGTGTTATTTATGCTAGCATGACATGGTTGGTACCAATGGATGCCTTAGGCCATCTATGGAGCCCACTACAGACACTGTGTGAGTGGAAGAGGTAAGGATAATGGGGTGGCACTTGGGGTGGCCAATCAGATTTCAGGGGTGGCCACCCCAGGCCCTCTGGACACACCCTTGCCAACACCATGGTTGGGAACCACTGCTCTAAGTGATAAGATGTTTATAAATTCAATTGCTTTATAATATTTAACACATAGATGGTATAAAACATGGACGTAGTCTCTGTGAAGCTCAGTGTGGTCGGCTCTGGCTGTCACCATCTTGGTAAGCCTGACTTTGCAGGCTCATGGCTAATCCAAAAATGGGCAAAGAGGTGGAGTGTTAGTAGAGCTGAGTCGGTGGTTGCTGAAACCAGCCGCCTGTGACAGCACCCACCTGTTACTCAAAGCAGGCATGTCCTTAATTATGCATAACTTTAAGCCTTGATATGATTTAAACAGGGGAGTTGTATAACAATTCACCCCCTTACAGTTGGCATGACCAGGTAAATTAGCTATAGAGACCAAAAGTGTTTTTTGGCCCAGGCTGTAAACATGTTTATTTCTGCTGTAAAGTTGGGCATTTTAATATGGGACCTTATTGAGATTGACTCTGTTTTGAAGCCAGCCCCAAGTGGTCGTTCAAGGATACTTCTGTGTTGGCTTCTTTTTTTAGCCACAGAGGTTTCTGCTTGGTTTAACATAAAGTACTACCGTAATATTTATTCTAATAAAGGCTGAAATTCCAGAATCCCATAACTGAACAAAAGGCTAACACTGGACATGAATAATGGTCATAACAGAACGATGAAGGCTATCCAGTGTGTGCCACAGAGAGAGAGGGGAGGTCTAATTTTAGAACCTGGTGATAAGCTGTGCTCCATGTGGGACAGGGTGATATCAAAGGGAATGCATGCTGACTCTGTTGCCATGGCAATCATAATTCAGCTTGGATACCTCCTAATTGGGAGGCAGGGATGTAAAAAAAAAAAATTTATAAAAGGAGGAGAAGAAGGAATAACACGAACCAAAGTCATCATCATTACAGCAGTAGGAATCAATAGTTCCTGCCCAGCAGAGGCACTATTGATATGGAGCGGTGGAATGGGTACAGTACACTTAGCTCTCAGAGTACACCGGGCACGAATCACAATGCAGTACTGCAAAATCCTCATCTTCCAGTCTGTACATTTAATGCAAAACATAGTTTTGGCATACACTGTATGTCCAATCACTTCTAATAAAGGTGGGAAACCCGTTTATGTAGGTACAGTGGACATAATTTACAACTTGAAATCAAACAGTGGTGCATGTTAGCTCTAGTTACAAAACTTGTGTACTGCTGAAGGGTTAGAAACCAGAGTTGTACAGGGAGTGATGTATAAATCCTGAGGCCAAAATATTCCCCATGAAGATGCCGGGTTTTCCTTTCTAACTCGCAAAAAAAAGGAAGAAAAAAAAAACCTTGTCGCAACTCATTTATCTGTGTCGGATTATTTCAAATTAAAAAATGAATGAATAATTGATTTATTCATTAGCTAGATGTGACAACCAGAAGAGTTAATAAAACGTAATCTCTAAAAATGGCTCTAGAAAGACATTCCCCAGAACAGTGATTCATCATCCGGGTCTGGCTTTACATCATGCTATTTAATTCAGCCCAGACAGTGCAATTATTCATCAAGTGAAATACAGAACAAGACGTCCAAGCTTATATACAGGACATGCAACGAAGGCTTTAGAAGCAGGGTTTGATCAAATTTGGCTTCATGCACTACTTATAGTGTAAGGCATCAACACAGAAAGGCATTGTGACACACTGAGGGAATATTGTAAAAGCATGATTAGAAGAGTTCATGACATAATTACCATAATCTACTAAATGAGAGATACATCTATGTTACTGAATGTTATTTTTATCCACTAGTAGATTAAAGATGGTGATATTGGTTAGCTGGTATGTCGAACTTTGGTCCAACTCAAGATATTTCCACTACTGGCCAGATTACCATATTTGGTGTGGATATTCATGGTTCCCAGAAGATGAATCCTAATGATTTGGAGACCCTTTGACCTTTACTGAACCAAGTCAAGTCAAATACTATATCTTCAGTGAATGATTTCTAATGTTTTGGTAACACCTTCACTTCTCCTTTAGTCTGAAAAAACTATTTTATGAGTGTGATGTCAGGCACTTCCCACATTATCACAAAACCCCAGTAGTCCAATAGACCGAAAGCCCATTTGTCCAACAGCTCATTATCATAAAAAAAAGCCCACTACTCTAAAGGCCTGTTTTTCCAAAAATACACATTATCCCTGGAGTTGTTATATCTTCGAGTATTTGGACATGCAGGTTGGGTCTTTGTGGCTATAAAACCCCTTGCAATCATACATTTTATAGCCACAAAGATCTACAAAAACAAGTTTTGCTAGTTAGCTTAGCTCCAAACCTGCTCCTTCAGTCACTGTAGTTTTGTAAAAACAATCTAAACCAACTATGGCTAGTTTTTACTCTGTTGTGGTTTGAGCAACGTTTGTGCGCTTGTATGTTTTTTTTTATGCCATTTTATATTAGTGTTTCAACAATCTCTCTCCGCAATGACATACCTTACCTTTAAAGGTGCCCTGTGGAGTTTGTCTCCTGCTCCATAATTAACATCAACTCTCGGGAAGAAAACACATACATGTATTTCCTAAAATGTCAAGCTTTTCCATCATGAGCCCACGAACAACAAAATGATCCATACAGTATGTTCATTCCATGT